GAGCCGGTCCTGCCTGACGCTGCCGGCGGCGCTGGGCCCTTGGTGCTGTCCCCCACCCTTCCCTGCCTCTTCCCCGGAGACGCTGGGAGCGAGGGGGCCGTGAGAAGGGGAAGGGGAAGAGGGTCCCTACCCGGCCTAGCTCGTCTTTGGCCGCGGGTGTATCTCTCCCCACATTTGTGAAGGAAAAATTTCTTCCCTGAAAGGGTTGTCAAGCACTGGAACGGGGTGCCCAGGGAAGCGGTTGAGCCACCATCCCTGGAGGTGTTTGGAAGATGTATAGAGGCGGTGCTGAGGGACACTGTAGTGGTGGACTTGTCAGTGCTAGGGTAACAGTTGGACTCGATGATCTTAAAGGCCTCTGCCAACCAAAACGATTCTATGATTCGATTTCCCACTTAATACTTGGAGAAAGATCACAAATACTGTGTTTTTCATAGGCTGGACAGGTTTAGGGGACACCTTGGTATTACCAGACTGAAGAGCAGCGGCAGGCCAGTGAGCTTCCCGCCTATGTGGCTCCTTTGAAAGACAATTTTCATAAAATTGCCTCAACTTAAGGCGATTGCGAAGGGTGGTGAATGTGCTGTGTGCCTCAGCAGATGGATGAACACCTTGCCTTGAACGTTGCGAGGATAACATTTAATTTCTGGTGTCAGATTCCAGTCATCTGCATCAGTTTTTTCTCACAAATTAAAAAGTAAAATTAATTTTCTTACCTGGTATTTTCTTCCCCAAAGGAAAATTTATATCCATTGCATGTTGTAATTATTATCACGTATTTTTTTATAAATTTAACAGATTGAACTCTCTACATCTCCCAATGCAAGACATTCTCCAGCTCTTGAATATTTTATGAATATTAACTGAATAATTTGTAGTTCCTTTTTCGCCCTCTGTCAATGTGGGTTGACCCTGGCTGGTTGCCAGGTGCCTACCAACCCACTCTATCATTCCCCTTCCATCAACAGAATGGAGGGAGAAAATACGATGAAAAGCTCGTGGGTTGAGATGAGGACAGGGAGATCACTTACCAAGTACTGTCATGGGCAAAAAACAGACTTGGTTTGGGAAAACGAATTTAATTTATTACCAGTCAAATCAGAATAGGGTAATGAGAAATAACTAAATCTTAAAACACCTTCCCCCCCCGCCCCGTCTTCCTGGGCTCAGCTTCAGTCCTGGTTTTCTCTACCTCCTCCCCCTGAGCGGCACAGAGGGACAGGGAATGGCGGTTGTGGTCAGTTCATCACATGTTGTCTCTGCACCTCCTTCCTCCACACACTCTTCCCCTACTCCAGCATGGAGTCCCTCCCACGGGAGACAGTCCTCCGTGAACTTCTCCAATGTGAGTCCTTCCCATGGGCTGTAGTTCTTCACAAACTGCTCCAGAGTGGGTCCCTTCTATGGGGTGCAATGCTTCAGGAACAGACTGCACCAGTGTGGGTCCTCTGCAGGGTCACAAGTCCTGCCAGCAAACCCGCTCCAGCGTGGTCTCCTCTCCTCATGGGTTCACAGGTCCTGCCAGGAGCCTGCTCCATTGTGGGCTCTCCACAGGGTCACAGCCTCCTTTGAGCATCCTGCTGTTCTGGCGTGACATCTTCCACGGGCTGCAGGTGGATATCTGCTCCGCTGTTACCCTCCAGGGGCTGCAGGGGGACAGCTTGCCTCGCCATGGTCTTCACCACGGCTGCAGGGGAATCTCTGCTGCCGTGCCTGGAACCCCCCCTGCCTCTCCTTCTTCACTGACCTTGGTGTCTGCAAGACTGTTTCTCTTCCACATTCTCACTCGCTCTCCCAGCTGCTGTTGCGCAGCAGTTTTTTCCCCTTTCTGAGATAGTTTATCACAGGGGTGCTACCAACGTCACTGATGGGCTCAGCTTTGGCCAGCAGCAGGACTGTCTTGGAGCCAGCTGGCATTGGCTCTGTCCGATACGGGGGCAGCTTCTGGTGTCTTCTCACAGAAGCCACCCCTGCAGCCCCCCTGCTACTAAAGCCTTGTCACATAAACCCAATACAATCAAATTTTTGCACTCTCTACAAGGCAAGACTTAAAGGCAGTATGCCATTGTCACTTCCTCAGTGAAGTTCTCAGTGGCCACAAATAGCCACGTATTCCTTAGGATCGCTTTGGCACGGGACAGTGGTGGTTCACACCCAGGTGCTCAGCTGTTTCCTCCTAAATGCCTTCAGAGTTGTCACTTTCTGGATGACAGTGGCCTGTTTGGCAGGTGTGATCTGCCTGCCTTCTCTGTAGATGACTACACATCTGCCTCTGTTATCTAGTAGTGGTTTACTTCAGGAAAATGTTTTTAAGACTTGTATGCTATTCTTTAATTTATTGTGTTGTTTCATTTTATATGGCTAAGTTCATTTTTAAATGTATTGGCTGAAACAGTAGTGGTGCCTGCCCCAAGTTCCAGATGTAGCTAAGCAGGGAGGTTTCGCTGGCTGTTGTTTTATGAGTTTCTTTAGGTAAAGGTCACTTACTGTTACGAGAGCAACACAGTACTGATGTTTTAGACCATGGTAGCAGTGTTAGCTTAAGCAGCTTCCCCAGCTGTGTCTGCCCTTGTGCAAGCCCCAGGACATCTGTTTGCTTGCCAGCGTGGTGAACTGAGTTGGATCTCATGAGATGACTTCAAGAAGCAGCGGCACATCTGAAGCCACAGTCTGAGCTGACTTTAAGCAGGCTAACTTGCACTCTTACAACAGCAAAGGATTAGGCAAAAACAAGACCAACAACTTCAGTGAGAAGGAAGTTTGGCCACATTGAGCTTCGTGCTGCCAGGGCACATCCCACCCCTCTTTGACTGGCAAATAAGGTATTGGAGATAGGTGGCAACTGATCCCTTTTAGCTGCACAGAGCTCCTTCCTAAACAGTCACACTTTCTCTCATAATCTCATTGTAAAATTCTTTTCTGTGCCCGCTCAGGTGTTTGTCTCAGCACTGGGATATGTACAATGGTATGTCAATTCATACCATTGTTAAGGAAAAGGTTCAAGAATTTCACATTTTAGGTCTAATCACAAGCCCACGTGTTCTTGCCACATTGCTTTCCCCGAGGATGAAGGGACCTGTCTGATCTAACATGTTCAGAGGCCCGTGATTCATCAGCTTCTCAAAACAACCACGCAACTCTCCAAAAGAGCTAAAACACACCGGATGAGAAAAGATAAATTTCTATATTTACAGGCAGAAATTCTGCATCCGCACTTTCTCAAACATTTTGCCAATGTAGCCTTCTCTTTACTGTGGTCATGACATTAAGAAGAAATTATCTCAAATTTATTTATTTAAAATATAGACACTTCAATCCGGCTGATTTTGTAAGCTCTCTTAAT